ACCTTTACAGTTAGCTCATTTTTACATCATGGGCCAACACTAAAGCCCAAGGCAAATATTTATAAATTTCACTATCTCTTTTTCTGCACATTGCGTTTATTGGAATGCTTTGTTCTATTCATTTTTTTATTTTGATTAGCAAACAAACAAATTGAAATTTGACATTTTAAATCTAAGCTATTACGCAATGAACGTTCTTTTGTCTAAACAAAAATAATCAATTAAATAAAATTCTGTACAATATATACTTATTAAAAAATATATATAAAATTATACAATATGTTAAATTTCAATTGATTTTCTTTATATAATATTGCTTAAGTTCTAATCACAAAATCACCTATCTTTTGCCTCAGTGAACTTTGCTTTACCTCCCACCATTTATTATTTTTCCGCCATATGCTGACAGTTCTTTGCTGTAGGCAAGCATTTATTTTCACTATCTCTCTTCAGCCACTATCGCCGCTTTGCTGCTCCTCTGAGTCCTGGTGTGAGTTTAAGTGTAATTACCGCAGGCTGAACATCGCTAAAAGTATCTCACAGATACGCGAAAGTATCTCTGGTTGTCAAGTGGCACGCTCCACTGACTGTGCAGAGAAGCGGCTTATCGCTGATTCAGATTTTCAATCAATAAATAAGCAATAATCAGCCGGGTGTTCCTCCTTCGCCTTCCATCTTCCCCGATATATCCTTGAATGCGAAACACACACCTCGCCGTAATGCAAGTCAATGGATGCGATTGTTTGCCGGCAAGTGCAAAGTGTTGAATGGACTCCCATTGAATGGCAGACAGACAGACAGGCAGGCAGCCAGGAACTGGAACTGAATCCGAAACAGAAACCCACAGGAGTGCATTGCCGTGGAGTGGCATTCAATTGCCGGGCGGCAGACAAGTGAATCAGCCACCGAGCGGACAAACAAACAAACAAACAAGCGAATTCAGTGTAACGACCACAAGCCCGGCTTGATAGCATCGCTTGACAAGTCAATGAGACGAGCTCGGAGCGGAAGTCAAGCGGGAGCTGAGAGCCACCCAAGCCAAAGCAAAGCAAACCGAACCGAACCCTTCAGCATCCAGCATCCAGCAACAGACGCGTTGACAATGCCACTCCGATCACATTTGTTCAGTGCCACCGAGGCCGTCACACGTGTTTTCATTCACTCACAGTTGCGGTTTGCGATTTGTGATTTGAGATAAAAACGAACGTTATTCCGAACTTCTTTTGTGCTATTGAATCAGCTTAAAACTACTCATATTTCTTATTTAATTAATTTATGATCAGTTTAAGTTTGAAGAAATATTGTGATATTTTGTCAGCAACTGTAAAGGCACAGAGTCATCCATATTTACTAATAATCCATAAACCTTCAAGTAAATACACAAGTAAATAACAAGAGTTTAAAATATATAATATTAATTTCCTTTTAAGATTAGTAAAAGAATTATTTTCAGTATTTCTGTTTTATTCTCATCTGTGTTAATAAAGGGGTTGTGCTACACAAACCACTCGAGTTTTTAAGGTTCTCAACTACAAATAATATAAACAATAAATTTGGTACTTCAAAACGATCCCTTAGGGGCAGCCATAGTAATTAACTTTCGCAGTTAGTCTATATATATACATATGTACCCCCATTAGTATATAAGTCGAAACGTTCGGATCGAACGGATATATCATATATCTGCCATAGGAACGATCAGAAACGATTTGTCCCTAACCCTCTGCCTCTAGCTCTGCCACCCACTCAGCCACTCGCTCTGCCACTCTCCCTCTCTCTCACTCTCACCCTCCCTCTTTATCTGTATGCGCATCTGTATCTCGAGAGAAACCTATTTCACTCATTCCCTAGTGCGCTCTCGCTCGCTCTTCTCTGCTCGGGAACTATAAATAGAGGCGCTGAGGGCCCGCGCGCCTCAGTCTGTCCTAGGGGTACCTAGTGTTAACATCGGTAGTGATAGTGCAAGTGATCATCCTTCAACCTGAAAAACATGACGTGGCCAATGGCAATGCATCTGGATGACCAGCAAGAAACTCACTTGGATGAAGTCAGCAAGAATAATGGATGGAAGTAATCAATGACCAAACACAATAGCCACGTGTCCTCAACTGGGGTAAGTCTTAACCATGACATTTATATTATGTATGAAGATGATATTGCTGCGATCTGGCCTATGTGTAGACTTTATTTCTTCCAATTAATTGTTTTATTGCCTTGATCCCCATTACTTAATTTTAAATTAAAGTGACACAGCAATTTGTTTAAGGTATATCTACAAACGTAAACTCAAAGTTTTATTTTCACATAAAATTATCAAATAAAAGTTACGATAAATATCGACTAAGGAAATGCAACTCTGATTCCCAAATAAAATCTTTATTAATTTATTTATTACTTTTTTATCTAAAAGATTCACAAGTTAAATTAAAATTTCATTTCCACTTTGATTGACTTCATTTAATTTTGTTTGCTGTTTAGTTCACTTTTAAATAAAGTAGACACAAAACTGTGTTGACCACAACATCATTTATATAAAATCTAATTTCCTTTTCATTTAATTTCACATTTCATTTGTCACTTTGGTCATTTGCTTTCCATTTTTAATTGATGTGAAAATTGTATTCATTTCCTTTCAATTCGTATTTTAAGTGAAATTTGTGGTTTACCTAAGAGAAAACAGATGAACAAAACAAATTTTACGCTGGCAATAAGTCAAATGAAAATAAATGGTCCATAATTGAGTTAGGAGAGTTTTTCCAACTAAGCCACCGTAGGTACAACAAAATTAGAAGTAGAAGAAGTAGAATAGTTTAAAATTGCTGTCATTTATTATTCCCTTAAATTTAAAATAAACTATTCCATAATGCATAAACAATTCGCATAAGCCAAAGCAAAATTAATAAGGAAACACATATTCCTGTAAGAGACTCCAGAGGAAAACCCTCTTAAGACCCGTTTAGTCCGGGTAAAACGTTTTGTAATCTAATTAATGACCCTGCAGCAGATAATGGGAGAGTGTATTCATAATCCCTGGCAATTTCGCATTCATTAAAAGCCAATAAAAGTGAAAATTATAACGCCCACCTCCGCAGTATCCGGCAGATCCCTCTTCTAGGCAGGTGAATGGGCGCCCCACTTCATTAATAGCCCGCGTGGGTGGCTGGGTGAGTAATGAAAGCTAATGGAATAACAATTAATTGAAAAAAGAAAGGAATGAGTGTGTACGCGAATGTACATACTATGGTGTAAGAGAAGATGGCCGACCGGCCGGTTTCAGGGCCATGGGCAAATACAAATTGTTTTAATTAATTGAAGCCGCAACCGCAGCTGGCCGACGGAGCCTGATTTAGATGAATTGCCGGCATTTCAGCCGGGGCTTTAGTGCCGGCTTTGGTTTTTGGTTTCGGCTCCGCCGGCGGCGGATCAGTGTCTGACTTGTCAGCCTGAATCCTGTAGCCGTCGGATAGGACCTCCGGCCTTGGCCGGCTGGCAATCAGGCGTGAAATGATTGGCAGGCCAGGAGTCGGCCGGCAGTCCTATCAGATATTCACATATGTCGCTGGGACACACTATTAGCGTTGCTATCGATTGAATTTTGTGGCAATCCAGAGTGCCAGAGTGCCGGGACTCGGCCGGAGTGCCAGTCGAGAGTGGCAAAGTGCCACCGCCTAGGGGCTGAAGCCAAGCTGATCTGAGCGTGTCGTCAACCACACGATTTGTGGGAGAAGATTGTACTATAAGCATTATTCCTGGCAGCTACTTTCGAACTCCGGACTTTGAGCATTTAAATATGCCACCCAATGGCTGTAGGGTATTTTTTTGGGGAATATTCAACTGGTGAAGTTTGGCAGCACAAAATTTCTGCAAAGTAAAACCATTTGATTCGGCTTTAGGTTTTTGTCTTTGGATGGAAAATACACACAGAACAGAGCAGAGGAGTTTTCCAGTATGGTTCTTCTTAGAATTTTCTGTATTTAAAAGTCAAACTCAAATAAAGTTCCTTTTTGGGCAATGTGTAATTCTCAGAAATCAAGCTTTTCTTAATATGATACGAAAGTTTGAGATAAACTCGTGTGCTGGTCAACTGTTAAGAGCAAGCACTAAATTAAATTACATCTCTGACAACGTTGCGTATACGTGATGTAGCTTAGAGCCAGGCATCAAAATCGATTTCTTATTATCTTTTAGGGTATCAATTAGTCAAGAGCAGTTCAGTGTCCTGGCAAGCTTGCCTGCGGCAACGGAAAGTTGAACAAAAAACTTTTCCAAGCTAAGTTGCGCTTATGCTTATGTTTGGGCGAGTATGTAAATGCTACCGGGGGGCATTTGTATCGGTGTCTGAGGTTTTCCCGGCTCTGTGTGAGTGTGCCGCCTGCCACTGTGTGGGTGTGGTGTATGCTTGTGTGTGAGCCGGTGTGTGAACCACAACATGTGTCGTCGGGCGTGAACAAAAGTGCTAAGAAAATTACATTTTGGCCACACGGAAAGGGGAAGTTGTGGGCCTGAGGCAGAGTCTCGGCCTAATGCCTTAATACACTTAAACTCGCTGTAAATCCGAGTGCTTTCGACTAATTTGTAGGTGGCGAGGAACCACTTGGCCTGGGCCACGAGAATCACAAGTTATTTGATCCCACGGAACCATGCAAGTAAGTCACTGGGTTTAAATGGAAATTTTTTGAAATAAACGAGCTGCCTGCCGCACACAAACAGAGGAACACGTGCACAAAAAGAAAATATTGTTTTTTAATTTGTATTTCTTGGAGAAAACTTAATGAGATTTAAGGTGCTCTTTAAAGTGTTGAATTTCAGAAAAGGAAGCGGGATTTAAAAATATAATAAATATGTAATTAAATTACAGTTTGGAATGAAGGACACTTCATTTATTTTCTTGTATTATCTTATCTTATAAGTAGGCTATAAATTCACAGATCACTTAGCTTACAACCATATGTTGTGAAAGTTTAGTTCAAAACTTAAATCAATTCAAATTTTTAAAATACCTCAGAAATTAGCAGATCACTGGATCCTATTTTTTTGCAGTATTCCTCCGGAATTAAGCGGCCCCTTCCGCTTTTTGTTCTCCTGGGTGCTGCTCTTCATGTCCTTATGCAAAATTCACATCCACAACAATCGCCCTAAACTTTTTACCCTGCATATACATTACGCTTTTGTTCCAGTTCCAAGCCACGAAAAAAAGAATAAAAATAAACGAAAAACGAAAAGCATGAAAAACGCGCCAATATATCGCAGCGCGGAAATAATGCAATTTGTGTGTGAACTTTTAACGCACTCGTAGTTTTTTATACCCGCTCGGGACGCGAGTTTCCCAAACATAAATATTTACGTACGAAGTCGAGTCCTTTTCTGTGTGAGTGTGTGGTATGGGTAAACTTGAGGGGAGCTCGGCAAATCCTGCTCCTCTCACGAACGGCGAACAACTGAGGAGCCGAAGCTGATGTTTGTCAGTTAAAAGGCGCCAGTTCTCTCAACTGTTAGCCAACAGCGCTGTTAGCCGGCAGGACACTGTTGCCTTTCCTTCTCTGCGTCAAGAAGGGTCCTTTTCTGACTGCTTTTCCTAATATTAAATTATCGAAATCAAATTTAGTGACACCATTCGCATGTGTGTGTGCCGAGTAAACCTTATTCAATTTCCTTGTACAAAAAATATGCATGTAATTATATTTTAATTAAAGCTTGGCATACTTTTTGGCTTCGGCTGTGAAGTGGCACATGCAACCGCAATCCAAATGTCACATCTAAAGTGAAGAATATAATTCATGCTTATCGTCCGTCCAGCAAATGCAGACCAATTAATTGGGACTTTAAACAAATGGCCGCGAATAAGCAAGCACTTACTAAAAAGCACTGGGAAAAATAGATAAGGAAGTCAATTTTGTATTGGTAATTAATGCAATTTGGACTTTGCTATGAACGATTTAAATTAAACTCCTGATCAATTGTCAGGTGCAATGCTTCTTTTGACTTCTTAAAGAAGATTCCTTTTTTGTTTCTTAATTAAACTAAAAGCTAAAAAAACCCTTAAGCCTCTGGAATATGCAAATGTTCAACTTCAACCTTTAATGACATTTCTCTCGGTGCAGTCATTGTATTTCATCGCATGTCAAATGCATATTTTACTATTAAGCGCCATCGTTGTTGTCCTTGTCGTCCTCGCTGATGGTTGTTGCTGCCGCTGGTATCCTTGTGCGCTACTTGGGGCACAGTTGTTAACGAAAACGGATTCCGGAAGCCGGACGCCCGATACGGATATAAGTGCACCGTGTACGGCCAAATGCAGGCAATGGAAACGGGAAAGGAGATGGGATAATAGAGGAAGGAGAGTGGAGAATGGAGAATGGAGGACATCGAAATGACGGCGAAGTGTCCGGCCAAGCCACGATTCGTTGTGGCATCTCCACGGACACGTGCACATGTTGATGGGGACACAGGACACAGACACTCCACACTCACACTGACGGCGACACACAATTTTGTCGCCTCTCCAGAATTTGACGTTTTTTACGATAGTTAACCCCGGGACCCGCAATTGTCCTGTCTCCTGGCCCCTAGATCCTTTCTCCTTTCTCCTTCTCCTTGACTATTGATTTTTACTTGGAAATAAATTGGTTTCGTTTGTCTGTTTAGCTATGTCTGTGTTGTCATTGGTATTGCTTTTGCTATTGGTATGTTAGCGTCACTTTTTTAGTAGAATTCGGCACTTCTCACTTGCCCGCACTTTTGGCCAGAAGTTTCCTTCGGCAATTATTGTTGGAATTATTTTTCATTTTGCCAGCGAACAAGCACAAGCATCCCCATGCCCATTCCACACAGACGCTTTTCATCCCCGTCATCGCAAATGGCCGGAACTATTGTTATTAATACAGAGCCAGTGAATGTTTTTCCTGCCATTTCTCTTTCTTTTATTTTTGCTGCAAGAAAAATTGCACACCAAATGAAAAGTGAAAAGCGAAGCATTAAAGTTTGATATTCTTTTCTACCGGCCAAAGAATGCTTCAAGAAATTTATTTTTCGAGAGGCACAAGGAATTTTTACAAGGGCTGGTGGCTAAGACAGAGATCGGCTTGGTTCAATAAAGTATTTCCGGTATTAGACTTAAAACAAGTATTTAAAAAGCTAATAGAGTTTTCATATATTTTTAAAATCAACTGACTGATTTTTTTTAATATTTTGTTAATTTCCCCTTGAGCAATGTGTGACATTAAAGTTGTATATACTTTTTTGTCACAAAATTTGTCCCCAAAGAATGTTAAATTCCTATAAATATGGCAATAACAAAAAAAAGGTAGTTCCCATTCCGGCCATTATTTAGCTTGTTTCAGTTCTAACTTAATTGAAATGCCCGCCTCTTCCGGCTTACAATTTCCATAGAACTCCGGACTCTGTCCGTGTCATTTTCGAGGACTCGCTCGCATATTTTGGCAGCTACGTGACACATGCCGTGACCATGCTCCGGGAGCTGCAAACAAAGTAATTTTTTTATATTCCGCCGCCGTTGTTTGGCTGCTTAAATATGGACATGGCCATCCCACCACTCACAATTCCGGGGCCACTCCGAATCCCGATAAATAGAAAAAGGTATCCCCGCAAACGTATTTACATTGAAATGGCCACAAAAGGGTAGTTGTATTTGTCTATCCAAGCCAGGGGGGAAACTGTTGGAAAAGCGGGCAAAAGGGGGACCAGAAGTGGGCCCAAATGCGCTACAGTTGGTTGGTTGGTTGAGTTATGGCCAAATAAAAGACGTACAGAGAAGCTAATTTTGTGCATAGTTTATACGGATCGTAAAAGTAAATTGCACGGCCACTGAGCTTAGGGTTATTGGCCCATTTATATGGGGGCTTTATCTCCGTAAAGTGCACTGGGCTATCTGCACCCGCATTACCCGCCACCAGCAGTGTGATTTTCTGTTGTTGTTTGAAAAACACTGTGTCACAGTTTTCAGTTTGAGATCATATAAATTAGCAATTCATTGAAATATAAGTGTAACCTTTAAATGCTTTAAGACACGCGGAAATGTCGCCATCCTCGCCACGTTTCAATTATTTAAACCTAACAAACTGTTTATGCATGTTTGGCATTTTACGATTCCGCTCAAATCTCGCATTTATTTAAAAATTTATTGCCCCGCCAGCTAATTTTGCGTGGCACAGCCCTCTCAGATCATCATCATCATCAAAACCAAGCGGACTCCGCTTTACGACTTGGCACATGGAGGACAATGCCAGGATGCTGATACACCAAAGAGCCACAAACAATTCAGGGGACCCAAAAAAAAAGGAGATATGTATATATAAGAGACACATTTCCACAAACGCATTTATAATTAGATTTTCAGCAAAATGATAAATAAAAGTTTTTGATTACACAGCAACGTTGTCAGCAACAGCTGAAGCTCTGTACCTGGAGCACCTGGAGCACCTGGGTTTCGAGTGGTGACCGCAGGATCCGCAGACAAAATGGGTTGACATTAGCATAGGGATAAGCGCTGTTAAAGACCGAAATCGGAGCTGAAATGTGTGCGAAACAAAGCTTTACGGCTCAGGGATTTCGTCCTTCAGCCACCTGAATTTTATAGCACTTCGCACATCGCATACTAACTCTCCTGCGTGTGTCCCAATCTTTTTAATTAACTACTCATATCCGCCACCGAGCGTGCCTAATTGATATGAGAAGAGACCCGGGCAACGGGTCTCCAGGTTTCCTGACTTCCCAGCCCCACTCCCAGTCCCAGTCGCAGTGTCTGAGTCTGAGTCCCCCCTGGAGTCTCCTCACGCCTCAATGGAGCTATGTGCGTGTTAGCCATATCCTGGCGTCTGTGTGAATCCTGCCCGGCTGCTCCTTCCTGTTGTTCCCTCCTCTCCTGCCCCTCCGCGTGCAAGTGTCTTAATGAATTTCCATTTCCAGCAGACACTCATTGAATTCCCGCCCATAAAATCGCAGCCAAAAGCAGAAATTAACTTGCCTCATGTCAAATGTTAATGAGCAGCGAAAGCACAGTGTTTTCGGCACTTACTTTGATTGTTTTTTATGTGTATATTACTAATTAATTTATACATAGATCTAATTTTATTTCTGGGCCTGAAAAGGGGGGAATATTAAATAATATATTATCATACGCTTAACACTTTTTATGCAGAGTGGAATTGAAATTATTATTAGAAATTTATAATATGTATTCATATTATTCCAATTCAATTTATTTGGATAACGAACACATAAATATCTGCCAATCAGTCATTTGTCAAAGTCACCATTGGTCGCATTTAAAACTAATAAATAAATGACATTACACCAATATGTTACCAATTTCCATGTTTTTTAAAACAAAGCCTTACCTTGACCTTTAAAAAATATTTCACAGAAGTTTCGTCACCCACTTTATGTCTCATACTTGAGTAAACTTTCAAATATCTTTTAAATATCTATTTCGGCTAAGATCTATAGAAAACTACAAGTTTGCCCAACTTCGCACCACTGTTTACCGGCAAGACGTCATGAAAGTGGTCTCATTGTTCCCATTAAATATTCAATATCAAATGCGCGGCATTGTCTCCGCTCCAACCAGGCTTAAATCCAACTGACTGGGCCAATATATAGACCCACTAATTAAATGCCCCACAAATGGATAGGCCGCAAATCGGTTCAATTAACACCAGCCGACTGACTGGATGCTTTACTCGAATGGAAGAATGGATGAGCACATCATGTACAATATGAGCTATGTTACTTAGGACTAGATCGGAGCTCCTGCTCTGCGGAATCTTAGATCTGCTGGCGCGCACGGCACGGTCGGCGAGCTCCTCGGGCGTGGGGTGCTCCTGGATAAACTGGATGGAGCGAGGATGGCCTCTGGGATTGGGGGAGGAGTGGGCAGGAGGTCGGACTGAGGGTGGAAGCCAGTCTCGTCGGCGGTGTAGACCACCTGGACGGGAACTCCCTCGGGGGAAATGTAGGAGTAGGAGCCGCGGGCATAGTGACCAGACTGACCCTCCTCCTGGAACTGAATGCCACTGGACTGCTGCACATCGTAGGCATAGGTGCCATCGGTGTCCTGATTGGTCAGGAACTTGGTGATGGTATCATCGTTCAAGGGGGCGCCAGGGCACATCCCAAAACGGCGGCAACGAGGAGCTGTCCAAGGAAGTCAATTGAGTTGCTATCTAACTATAAAGCCAAACTCTATTATCCACTTACGAGCTTGTACATGTTGGCTGCTGTTGTCGGGCTGTTGACTCTGAGGTTAATGCTGTCACTCTGGCCCCCGGATTGACTATTTATAGTGGTCGCTGGCCAAAGACAATGTCGCTGCAGACTCCGATATGCAAACAAGTCGAGCATGCGGATCGACCCATATTTCGCCCAATCGAACTGCTTTGGGCCGCACGTTTCGAGTCATTAATGCAAGACATGGTCTTGTAGCATAGTATTAAGCTGAATAATAGATACTCTTTCTAATTGTGTATAGATAATAGAAACGATCAATCATTGCAGCCAGAAAAGAAGGGCAAATACTGTGCTATGTTTATAGGACAATATTGAATAGTATAAGGTATTTATTGCTAGTTATTATTTGCTTGTAATATTGACACACACTGTATAAATATTAAACAATATTGTTGAAATATACAAAGATATTAATAATTTAAGATTTTCCAGTACAAATTTTGTTTCTTTAACTTTTATATCTTTTGACTTTAATAAATATCAACTTAAATTAGAATAAGTTTATAAGATAATTGATATATACTGCTTTAGTTAGTGTTTAGTTAGTGTATTTGTATGCATTTAACTTGAGTTATTTCCGAAATTTGATATATTCCGCCAATAACAAAATCTTTGCAGACTCGATGCCTAAATTAGTATATCCATTAATGTTAGCGACTAGGGTGGAGCTGATGACACAACCTCAATGCATCAAAATCAAAATCAAATCGAGCCGGCAAGCAACAACAATGCTAAACTCTATCAAGATTATCAACAACAAACCTAGGACAGGAGTAACAACAACGGCGGCAACTTGTTAATTTAATCAACTCAACAATAATATTTGAAGTTACCACATTTCTCGGGGCCCAATAACAGAGCAACATGAAGCGAAGGGCCAACGCCAATTTGCATAACACAGCGTGCATTTATTAATTTCAGATATACTGATTTCTGATGTCTGATTGAACTTCCCCAGCAAGTATCGATGGAGTTAAACCAGATCCGCACACTTTAAGGAAATCTCAAGGGGAAGACACCGCAGCGATGATGCATGTGGGCGATGCGATGCGATGCGATGCGAAGCGTTGCGATGGAATCTGCACAGGGAAAAATGGTAGACAACTATTTTGAGTCTCTATAGTACAAAGCAGACGGCATGGAGACAGAGAAGCGATTATTATTGATTATTAATTGTGTATTAATCATAACATTTTGTGAGAAATATCGTTGTGAGGGTCTAACAATAAATTGGGTATTCACCAAGCTTTGCTGAATTGATAAATATTGAATAGTTAGGCGTAACTTTGTGTCTCATAGCGTAAAAAAAATGCTTGCTAAGATAGCGTCATATGTTTTACAGAAATAGCAATTTAATAAGAAAAATGTATCTATTAAAAACTATTTAAATGTTACACTTTGTAATATATTTTGGTGTAAAATTTATTATAGATATTTAATAATCACAGATAAACCTTAAAGGGAGGAACACAAAGTTAGTTTCCATTTTAAGCCTTTTAAACCTCTTGACACATATTTTCTTTTGGAGAAAACTTATTATTTTTGTTAATAAAATATTATAAATATACAATTGTCATAAGTTAGTCAAAATGTAAAGTCATGCCCTGAAGCAATCATTAATATTTAAAGTTCATCAAGTCTTCAGAAACCTTGTGTTGGGGAATACCCAAACGTGTTTCTTGGAGTCACACAGTTCAAGTTCATCAGTCATATTTATCAATCACTGTTTTAGGGCAATACCGCTTCACTCTTTTTTATATTTTGAAATATACTTTACACCTCAAACCAAACTATAAAATGGGTAATAGATAAGCGAGCTTTCTCGATATTTTCTCACTGTGCTGATGGCCCCAGGCATGGCCATATGCTCTCGTGAAGGCAACGGCATTCATAGTATAAACAACCATATTAAATTGTATTTTTCTTTTATTACATTATTATTATCTCTGGCAATAAATGTCAACGTCAGTCGAGCCGACACAGGACACGGAATACGGGATACGGCGGAGACGATGGGTCAGAGGTCGCAGCCCGGGAGCATGTTGATGTAAATGTATGAGGGCCTAGACTATATATATACACAGTGCGTGGTGCGAGTGGGTGTATCTCGAGATGTAGTTGCTCCTCCGATGTTCTTTCTGCTGTTTGCTGGGATACTGGATACTGGCTGTTGGATGTTGGATGTTGGATGTTGGATGCTGGATGCTGGAGCTGGGTGCTTTGCCTATGCAAACAGACAGGACATGGCACACACAGGGACAAGATGGATGCGGATGCTGACACTATGGGTGCTGGGTATGTATTGGGGCACATGGCCCTGACTTGCTCCTCACTTAGACCTTCCTGTCATAGGGCAGGCCCTGACCCACGGACACGGCAGCAGGCGCCAGGAGGGCACCAGCTGGCTGCAGATACTGCTTGCCCTGCTCCTGTCCGTGGTTGTGGTTGTGGTGGTGGTCGTGGTGCTCATAGCCATCGGTCTCCTCCGGGTGGTTACGGTTCCATTCCAGCGATTCAGGATGGCCTCTGGAATTGGTGGCGGCGTGGGCAGGTGCTCACCCTGCGGCTGGAATCCGTTCTCGTCGGCCGTGTAGGTCAGCTGGATGAGCTGGCCCTCTGGAGTGTAGTACTGAGAGGAACCGCTGGCGTAGTAACCGCCGACTCCCTGCTCCTGCTGCGCAATCCCATTGGACGTCTCGAACTGGTAGTTGTAGCTGCCATCATCCTGTTCAGCTCGTTGACAAAGCTCCGGATCTCGGCATGGGCATCCGGGGAGTCCGAGGGACGAGCCTGGACACCGAGGAGCATGGAGACGGTCATGGCCACAAGTACAACGACGTTCTAAAGGAAGAGATGAGTCATCAGTGTATTCGACATCCATAAAGCACAAGGAGCCGACTTTGACTTACGATCTTCGACATTTTCGCCTGGCTTGGATTGAGATATAAGTTTAGTTTTGTTTTTGGTTGGTTTAACCCTAAGAGCAAAGCTGTGTTTGATGCCTCGGTGCCCTCGACCCGGCACTTTTATACCCCAGAAAATCCGAATTGATCTCCAACGAAAGTGAGGAAAGTGGTGTGTGCAGCCATTAGACCCGATGATGATGATGATAATGATGATTGGAGCGACTCATCACATCACCGCATCGCCTCACATTTCGTAGCCGAGAGCCAGCAACGGTTGCAACGCCAATTATCTCGTCACCAGGTGGCTTCCCATTAAGAGTTTTGAGTGAAAATGAAATCCATATCCACACTTTGCTTGCTGACCCTTCAGCTCTTCTCCTCCCGTGGGTCAAGAAACTTGCGCTGCCGGCACTTGAGTAATTAAGTGTTTGTGTTAATTCATTAATTATCCACGGCCAAGTTACATCGGAGCATATATACTTTTACGAAATCTGTAATGGATTCACAGCACCGCTCGGTTCCCATCCCATTTATCATGCCGCAGAGCATGGCATAATGCCATCGGATCGAGATAAGTGGTCGCAATAAACAGATATGGCTCGTGCTGGGGTGGGATAGGGTCTATAAATTTATTTGAAGATTGGTGGGTTCACTGGGCGTGAAATTATACCAAAAAACCCTTAGCAAATGGTTATTAATTTCTGAAGGGAAGATGCTAATCGATCAGAATATGAAAGCAACTTGTCCATGCCTTATATTGTTGCACTCGGCTTTCATTTTGGATAAACTGGTTCCGCTCTTTAATTTCTTGCAAGCCTAAAAATGTACAAATTAATATTGGAGAAGTTTTTGTGATACAAGCGCAAAGAGTCTACAAAATACCAGTTTGAAATGAAAAATAACCATACCACTTTCCATTATGAAATTAAAAATAAGCTTACATTACATTTCTTTAAAACCTCCTGTAAAAGAATTAATAATTTCCAGAGCCACACAACTCGGAAATATATTCCCTTTTGCACATGTGTAAATTTAATCTCCCTCCCATGAGCCTGAAAAAGGCAATATTACACCCAGTATAATGCTGTGAAAATGCATTAAATTTGCATCTGATGCAGAGACTTCTCTTTTGCGGACATACATAAATAAGGCACTATATTTTTCCTCGTTATTTTTACTGTGACACTTACATGCTTGTCCATAAAAGTTCTTTCAGTTTCATGCTTTTAAATAAATAAAATGCTGCTGCCCGCTGGGAGGGCTTCGCATAATTTAATTTAATCGAATCACAAAGGAAATCTTAAAGATACAAAAGCCCAGATGAGACATTAACTGCCTTAATTTGTCCATCGCCTGCGAATCAAATCAATTAGTTGTGCCATGTTATTGCATATTTAAGCAGAGATGGCGAAGGGAAACGGACTTGAAACATGCAAATTGAATCAAGTTTTTGATTAAAAATCCATCACCAGAAATGCAAATATACATGTAGCCATCCGTCCGCCCAAAAAAATCAAATGATGGAAAGCCAATTAATCGAGTTATTCAATAAAACCGTGTGCTGGCTCCAAATTGAAGCTACAAGTGCGAATTGGTGGCCGAATTTGGTCCACAGCGAATCGAACCGAAAGTTGCAACTACCAACAATTAGCAGACCCATTTCGTCTCTATTGATCCAAGGTCGCTTGCGGCCAGATTTTCGAAAGTCGTTGACTTTGTTTGGCGGCAAGCCATCCATATACAAGAAAAAAACCCCCCAAGGGCCGACCTTCCACGCCCAACGCCAACGCTTTCTGCTCGATATTCGATTTTGGGATCAAGACATACTTACTGGCTTTACATCTGCAGCAGAACTGCCCAGTATGTTGTCTCTTAATCAGACTGACTAACAATCAAATGGAACTGAAACTTGAGCTGAAACTGAATGAGACTGTGTAAACGGCCAGAAAGTCTGCAGGCATCGCCTGCGATGACAGTGTTTTAATTAATTAAATTCGCTAAATGGATCTGAGCTGAGCTGAGTGAATGTAGAGCAACGGTTTGGCCATAAAAATTCAAATGCCAATCGCTGACCAGCCCGAAATGCAGAGCAAGAAAAGTTACGAGTTATTTGATTATATTCAGATAGAAAATCAGAAGAAATAGCAATACCTATAATCAATATTAAATATAGCAAATAGTATAATATAATACTAGCACTTATAATATATATTGTAAATATTATTTAAAGATATAGATATATTAAAATAAGGCTAGAAAATACGAAACTTAACTATAATTTTATTACCTCCAAGTCCGCATAATATTTTTCGCAGTGTGGATGCTGCATCGGTCCTTAAATATATGCCCAAAGACATGCCCAAACTAAGGCTAAAACGCTGCCATCAGAGCGACCTTCGGCTGGACTGGCTACAACCAAACCGGACTGGGCCTGGACGAGTTGCCGCCACCGAATGTGGGTCAATTAATGTGGAGCAGGTGAAGGAGAAACCAGGAGAAGGAGTAGGAGTTGCCACTCTGCAGCATGTCCCCTTTTTATACTCCGTTGATGCTGTTTCTTGTCTCGGCTTAATGCGCGCGAAGATGGATTGCTGCCCTAATGGATGGATGGAGGCCAGGAGGAGCAGCAACCGAAGAAGGAGCCGGGTTAAGTACAGCGGAAGCGGCTTAAGGAAACGCCATCGAATCGTAACAACTTTTGCTTTCATTTAAAGCCGCCCAAGCGGCAGGCACCGGACAATTGTGTTGGCCAGCCAAAAAAAAAAAGAAAAGAGCAAGCCAAATTGCCGAACAGCCGGTTTGGAGCATAAAAGCCGAAAGTAACACCAAAAAGGCCAGCAGAAACAGAGGGCAGCAAAAAGCAGATAATGCCCCCAATGCTTCTGAGAGCATCCCCGCCATGCGACATCGACATCTCGGCCACACTGCCGTCGTCGCACATTCACTTTTGCTCTCCCCCCGGATCCATGGCCGATTCCCAAGTTCACATCCACATTCAAGTCCACGTCCGAGACCAAGTCCAAGTCCCGGTCTGGTTGCCAACCAATCCATGTATTTATAAAAGGCCAACACAAATCTTATAAGGGAAACAGCATGCGCTGCGAGTCGAGCTCTCTTGTTGCCGCCGTCGACGATTTTGTTGCCACTTTAGTGATGGGCAAAACCGACACCTTTAATATGGCTTAAAATAATTGGGGAATACAAATTAAAGGGAAATGATTTATGGGTACATGGTTAATCTGAGTTTATGGTGCCTTTTTGGGAGTAATAATTTCTTGGAGGAGAAACAAAAGGCTTAGTTAGTTATCAAAAGAACTTTAAATTCAATTTGCCTTTTAAGAAAAACTCTTGGTAGTAAATCTTAAATTTATAATTGAATCTTGAAGAATACATAGTTGGGCTTAGAACTAATTTAATTATATCTGCTAAACTTATGCTGTGTTTAGTTTCCGAAAAACAATTAACACTTTTAATTTAAGATACGAACAAAGAGGAGGGAAACTGTTTATTAAAGCGTTGCACAATGTCTTCAATTAACAGAAAATAATACAAATTTAAATCAACCCAATAAGAGGGCAATAATAAATTCCCTTGTATACTTTAAATTGCCATAAACTTATTGGGGAAAATTCAATCAACTATCTGCCCAGCGAGTAGTGTAAACTTGTAGCTATAATTGACCCCCTCGAGCTTCGTGATTCCCGTGAGTCACGGCTCTGGTTCATCACAAGTTTTCTTATCAAAACTTAATACAAACTTGCCCCACTCTGCACCGCCTTCCGCCCCCTGTCTATAAACTGTCGTACTTTCGGACAGTCTGCCAATTCTGGGAGCCGCGCCGCGGCAAGGTCGTTCGTCTGCTTCGCGCTCTGCTGTGAGGTTGCCAGGCAGGTTAGACCTCTCCCTTTTGGGTGCGCTCCCCTCCTCATCCTCGTCCTTGTTAAGGTCTTCGTCCTGGCCTTTTTCACTTTTGGGCGCGCTCGGTGATTTTGTAATAAATGAATCCGTTGACCTAGCATGTGAGGTTCTTAATCGATTTTACCGATTCTGCGAACAATTTATTATAAAGTTTCGCATATGAATTGGCAGAAGGTCCCCACCGGGTCGGGAGTAGGCGCAACATTTACAAATGATCCTGCCATAAACTTTGCACTTTAAAATATAAATTTTCAGGGAAGTCTGCTCTAAGTAAAATCTATTAATTACGCTAAAACCCCTCAAGAAAGGCAACTATTTAATGCCATTGTATTTTTGCGTAGGTGCTAATAAAAAATAAACCCCAACCGCTTGGTTTTTGGAATTGATTAACCGGAAAGTCGACCGACCGCAGCTTGAACAAAAAGGAGCATAAAGTTTATGGCCAAAAACTATCGCACTCACACACAGACACACTGTGCGGCGCAGTCACCGAAATAAAATGTATCGGCGGAAGAGTCTGTCCGTCTTGGCCATGTTTTTAGTGCCTTTGCGTATGTGTGTGTGTGTGAGAGTGGGGCAGTGCATGTTCATGTGCTGCGAATTATAAGCCAAGTTATAGGTTGTTGTTGCTGCTGCCGCGGGTCGCCGACTGCGAGTGCCCGGCCCTAAATGATTGGCGTGCCAAAATGCTATAAATGCGCCGCCTGGCCAATTCAGTCACATTCATTCTCGTTGCGAGTTCACGGTGACAACAAGCCCAAATCCAAACCCCAAATCCAGCCAAAAATGAACAAATTCGTAAGTGAAGACGTTCGCCAAGCGAGGAGCCTCTCTAAACCCTATCCGTATCCTTCAGTTCGTCCTTGCCGTTGCCGCCCTGGCCATTGCCTGCGTTCGTGCTGACTCCTTCGATGCCGCCGCCGAGACCAGGGAGTACAAGAGCGACCTGAAGGAGGACGGCAGCTATGCCTACCAGTATCAGACCTCCAATGGCATCGCCGACCAAGAGTCCGGAGCGGGTGGATACTATGCCAGCGGCTCCAATGCCTACTACGCCCCCGATGGCCAGCTTATCCAGCTGACCTACACCGCCGATGCCAATGGATTCCATCCTTCTGGCGCCCATCTGCCCACTCCTCCTCCAATCCCAGCGGCCATCCTGAAGTCCCTGGAGTACATCCGTACCCATCCGCACCAGGAGTCGCGACAGGGTCAGGGGCGATTCTAGAGGGAGAGCTGGCTTCAACACCAGCACATGTTGCGCGTTATTCGTCTTAGGCTTAAGTCATCCGAAAAAAATAAACATCGTTTGAGACTACAAACATTCCCATAAACACGTTGCAGTCGTTGTTAAATTCAGATAAGCATCCGTTCACATCTCAGGCATTGCCGAATTTTCGGTTAATTGTCGATTTGCTGGAATGCCCATTTTTGCAAGGCAATATTTATAATATACCGAATATTTAAAGCTATGACCGATTTCCGATTCAATCTTATAATTTAATAGCTTAACTTGCTTTTTAACGAGAATTACTTATCTTTATAGACTTGGAAACTAGTTTCCCTTAATACACACATGGCGTATACTTAATTTAAGGGTTTTCCCGTTAAGTATACGCCACCTGTGCTAGATTATTATACCCTTACACCATTTTGGTCAGAAGCTTCAAAAGTAGTGAAGGAGTCATTTTCGACCCCATAAAGCATATATATTCTTGATCTGCCATCGATAGCCAAATATTTTTTTCGAAATGTTTTAAAAATGTATAAAGGTTTACATCGGTAAAATTAGATAAAATTGTCAAAAAAATCTTTTTTTTTTGTAAATGTAAAGTAAGTACGCAAATTTATAAACCTCATAAAATAAAATGCAAAAATGGAAATTAATCTATTTTGACTTAGTTATGATAAAAATACGGATCCCTAAGGTAAGGCCTGAGTACAAAACTTTGGCTAACCAACTTTACGTTTACTTTAAGACTTTCCTAGGTTAGTAAAATAATTATATTCTTATCTTATTTTATAGATTTTTTAATGTACTATGTATATTTACTTCAGTTGTTTCCAATCTAATTTTATTTTGGGAATATTTTACATTTTAAGAAGAACATCTAACTAAAAACTATTTCAGTGTTTAACTATCCATATTTTATTATTATTTTTTACTCATTGTATCGTTTTATTTAAACTTTAACTGTTGTCTATTATGTTGTATTAGGTTTTGAAATCAGCTGAGATAAGCAACACATTCGCTTAATGAAGTTTAAAATATTTCACTGAATCTTACAATTTTATAAGAATCTTTATTGAATCTAAAAATATTTTAAATTGAATGCTTTGGCGGAAACCAGGGCTGCTTGCCAAGTCGTCGATGAGCTTTGTATGTGCTTTGGAAGTCACAACGAAGAGAATGAAGCTTAACGACAAAAATAAAATATCGATATTTTTCGTATCGTCAATCAACATGGCGGAAACTTTAAACGTTTCGCCATTACCGCAAATAAAAGCTTAGGCTGTAGTATCAAATGGCAAGTTATAATAGTTTGCATAAGGGTTAAGTGTAATAATTAACATCGTTCAAGCTTATATATTTTGGTTTATTGGAATTCATTTATAGTTGGAATAAAATAACACACAAAATGAAACAAAAATATTGCGTATATGCAAATTATAAGCTATCGAAAATCATAAACATTATAGTTTACTAAATTTGTAATCTTATTTATTAGATGAAAATATTATAGAGACATAGAGACAAAAATAGTGGATTGTAAATCGTTGTGGATGGTGCTTGGTGAACTTTGTGGATCCCAAGCCGCTGCGGTTGCGCTTCGTGAGTGTACCCGATCTGCCTTCGGCTTGCCGACTTGCCACATTTCTGTTTTTCCCGACCGATGGCAGCACTGGTTGATAGTTTGAAACTTGCAATTCAGCAACTGATTTTCAGTTATAAACTGGCAGCGGCAGCGATCTGACGTGTGTAGAGAGATAAAGTTTTCGAGTCGGGAAACGAGCAACGATCGCGCAAGAGAGTTTAATTGAGAACTCCGCTGGCGAATTGCACATGCAAAGTGCCGCGGTCAGTCCTGCATTGCAATCGATTTTCGGTTTTGCGGCTTTTCTCGCCACAAGTTGGCTCGTTAGCTTGTGGCTTTTATTATTTTATTTTGGTTTCGTTTGGCTTGACTCGGTTTGGCTTGTGAGCCTGCGCAACGTCGCAGCGGGTTCTGTGCGCGTTGCATTTTCAATAAACGCGTTTGCTTTTGGCACGCTGCGTGGGCGCCATTCCGTGTCTCTGTCTGTGTCGCGTGTGTGCATTAGCTAATGTGTTTGTATTGCTAATTAAAACAGCAGCAGCACCAGCACCAGCAGCAGCAGCAGCGGCAGCGACAACTACTGCGGCAGCCACAAGAACAACACGAGCAACGAACGCGCAACAAAGTGTCTTCGATAAGTACGAGCGAGGAGCCTCTCTAAACCCTATCCGTATCCTTCAGTTCGTCCTTGCCGTTGCCGCCCTGGCCATTGCCTGCGTTCGTGCTGACTCCTTCGATGCCGCCGCCGAGACCAGGGAGTACAAGAGCGACCTGAAGGAGGACGGCAGCTATGCCTACCAGTATCAGACCTCCAATGGCATCGCCGACCAAGAGTCCGGAGCGGGTGGATACTATGCCAGCGGCTCCAATGCCTACTACGCCCCCGATGGCCAGCTTATCCAGCTGACCTACACCGCCGATGCCAATGGATTCCATCCTTCTGGCGCCCATCTGCCCACTCCTCCTCCAATCCCAGCGGCCATCCTGAAGTCCCTGGAGTACATCCGTACCCATCCGCACCAGGAGTCGCGACAGGGTCAGGGGCGATTCTAGAGGGAGAGCTGGCTTCAACACCAGCACATGTTGCGCGTTATTCGTCTTAGGCTTAAGTCATCCGAAAAAATAAACATCGTTTGAGACTACAAACATTCCCATAAACACGTTGCAGTCGTTGTTAAATTCAGATAAGCATCCGTTCACATCTCAGGCATTGCCGAATTTTCGGTTAATTGTCGATTTGCTGGAATGCCCATTTTTGCAAGGCAATATTTATAATATACCGAATATTTAAAGCTATGACCGATTTCCGATTCAATCTTATAATTTAATAGCTTAACTTGCTTTTTAACGAGAACTACTTATCTTTATAGACTTGGAAACTAGTTTCCCTTAATACACACATGGCGTATACTTAATTTAAGGGTTTTCCCGTTAAGTATACGCCACCTGTGCTAGATTATTATACCCTTACACCATTTTGGTCAGAAGCTTCAAAAGTAGTGAAGGAGTCATTTTCGACCCCATAAAGCATATATATTCTTGATCTGCCATCGATAGCCAAATATTTTTTTTCGAAATGTTTTAAAAATGTATAAAGGTTTACATCGGTAAAATTAGATAAAATTGTCAAAAAAATCTTTTTTTTTGTAAATGTAAAGTAAGTACGCAAATTTATAAACCTCATAAAATAAAATGCAAAAATGGAAATTAATCTATTTTTGACTTAGTTATGATAAAAATACGGATCCCTAAGGTAAGGCCTGAGTACAAAAACTTTGGCTAACCAACTTTACGTTTACTTTAAGACTTTCCTAGGTTAGTAAAATAATTATATTCTTATCTTATTTTATAGATTTTTTTAATGTACTATGTATATTTACTTCAGTTGTTTCCAATCTAATTTTATTTTGGGAATATTTTACATTTTAAGAAGAACATCTAACTAAAAACTATTTCAGTGTTTAACTATCCATATTTTATTATTATTTTTTACTCATTGTATCGTTTTATTTAAACTTTAACTGTTGTCTATTATGTTGTATTAGGTTTTGAAATCAGCTGAGATAAGCAACACATTCGCTTAATGAAGTTTAAAATATTTCACTGAATCTTACAATTTTATAAGAATCTTTATTGAATCTAAAAATATTTTTAAATTTGAATGCTTTGGCGGAAACCAGGGCTGCTTGCCAAGTCGTCGATGAGCTTTGTATGTGCTTTTGGAAGTCACAACGAAGAGAATGAAGCTTAACGACAAAAATAAAATATCGATATTTTTCGTATCGTCAATCAACATGGCGGAAACTTTAAACGTTTCGCCATTACCGCAAATAAAAGCTTAGGCTGTAGTATCAAATGGCAAGTTATAATAGTTTGCATAAGGGTTAAGTGTAATAATTAACATCGTTCAAGCTTATATATTTTGGTTTATTGGAATTCATTTATAGTTGGAATAAAATAACACACAAAATGAAACAAAAATATTGCGTATATGCAAATTATAAGCTATCGAAAAATCATAAACATTATAGTTTACTAAATTTGTAATCTTATTTATTAGATGAAAATATTATAGAGACATAGAGACAAAAATAGTGGATTGTAAATCGTTGTGGATGGTGCTTGGTGAACTTTGTGGATCCCAAGCCGCTGCGGTTGCGCTTCGTGAGTGTACCCGATCTGCCTTCGGCTTGCCGACTTGCCACATTTCTGTTTTTCCCGACCGATGGCAGCACTGGTTGATAGTTTGAAACTTGCAATTCAGCAACTGATTTTCAGTTATAAACTGGCAGCGGCAGCGATCTGACGTGTGTAGAGAGATAAAGTTTTCGAGTCGGGAAACGAGCAACGATCGCGCAAGAGAGTTTAATTGAGAACTCCGCTGGCGAATTGCACATGCAAAGTGCCGCGGTCAGTCCTGCATTGCAATCGATTTTCGGTTTTGCGGCTTTTCTCGCCACAAGTTGGCTCGTTAGCTTGTGGCTTTTATTATTTTATTTTGGTTTCGTTTGGCTTGACTCGGTTTGGCTTGTGAGCCTGCGCAACGTCGCAGCGGGTTCTGTGCGCGTTGCATTTTCAATAAACGCGTTTGCTTTTGGCACGCTGCGTGGGCGCCATTCCGTGTCTCTGTCTGTGTCGCGTGTGTGCATTAGCTAATGTGTTTGTATTGCTAATTAAAACAGCAGCAGCACCAGCACCAGCAGCAGCAGCAGCGGCAGCGACAACTACTGCGGCAGCCACAAGAACAACACGAGCAACGAACGCGCAACAAAGTGTCTTCGATAAGTACGATTAACGAAAAAGCATTCCCGATCGCAATCTGGATCGACAGCGCAGGTGTTTTCCCCACCGCACTTCCCATGGTGAGTTTTCCACGACTCTTTTACCAATAACAGTTTCCCGGGCTGTGTGTTATCAACCTGTTGACCAGTGGCCTATTAAGCGCTCTTTTGTTTGTCCATTAGCGGCGGTCAGCTGTGATAATATTTATTACCGAGTCCAATGCAGCACGAGAAAATAAAAATCGAACGCCACAAAACTGGATCAATTACGCGGAACTCAGGTGCTGATAACACCCGGGCGCCCCCTTAAATAATATCAAGAATGCATTCGAACCCATGAAATATAACTACGCATAAATAAAAATTGAAGATCGATGGGATTTTATTTAGTATTGAACATAAATAATTTCTATCTTAAATTTTTAGAAATTGTTGGGTTAAAAAAGATAGAACTTGATTTATACCACTATATTTCATTTAATATATTATCATAGTATTTTCTACTGATTTAAGTTATAGAACATAACTAAGCTTAAAATATTCTCTTTTTTATTGTTTCTGTACGTTTCGAAATTGCATTTAATTATCATTAACATGTAACTTTTACGATACTTATATAAATATTTTGATGAGAGTTAAATTAAAGTTTATATAATCCATATCTAGGCCAAAAAAGCATTAATTTTTATTCGGATTTCTGTTCTATGTTAGTTTTTATAAGGTTTTTATACCTGCATACTAAATTTAAATTAAAAAATTTTATTATATTTTTTGACAAGTTTAACGATAATCCCTTGTAAAATTTTGAAAACAAATTCCAAAATTTTTTTTTCTTTCTTACTTGTTTAGAAAGATTCGCCTGCTAAAGCTGATCAAGAATATATATGGTTTATAGGGTCGGAAGTGACTCCTTCACTGACTGACTAAAATTGTAATACCCTTTAAGGGTATATGTTTAAAATTTATATTTAGATACATACATATGTGGTTATATATGCGGTTAACAGAGTCCAATTAGAAACGAAAATTTAAAATTGTTCACTAAAAATCAGAAGAAAAGAAATCAGTTACAGTTACACCTATTATTTTCTTATAGCCAAGTATCCCTGTACGCCACTTGTATGTCGAAAATCGACGGTAATCGCAAGACAAATAAACAATTAATTAACGCGAGCATAATGCGGCAATAACGACGCTCGCCTCCTGCTCTTTAAATCTGAAAAATATTTAACTCTTAAATGTGTGTTTTTCGAGTGAGCCGGCCAAGAGGGTTCCATTTGGTTGCTCGGGGGAATTTGCGAATTGGAAGCCGTGTTCAGATCTTTGCCGATACGAATCAGATTCGCATTTTTCATAGCCGCCCAGGGCCAAATATCGAGAACAAGTGGGGCGGCTACCTGCCTTTTGGATTCTAATTCGGATTCTGATTCCGATACTGATTCCGATTCCGAGAAGTCATGATATGCCCAATCTGAATCAAAGCCAACGGTCGGTCGGTCCCACCCCTCGGGGCTCGAGGCCAAAGAAATCGCAGACAAGTCTTCAGAGCTTCAAAGCGGCGGCTTAATTCAAATTGATTTCATTTCTCGTTCTCTCTCCCTCCGATTCGGTTTTTTGGCAAACAATTTGAAGTGTCAATTTGTGTTTATAAAACTAAAATTATTTATCAAGCACAGGCCATCGCATGTGGGCAGCGTAAACAGTTAAAAGAAGAAAAAGCCAGGCACGCATATGTATTTTGTTTGGTACACAGGGAATAATATCGGATTAAGAATTAATTTTATAAGGTTTTAGATAGGTTCCTTTATATAATAAGTATAGGAATTATTAATCAATTTGGACTCTTGGGTAGAAGAGTTTTTCTAAAACATTTTCTTTACATTTCTTAGTCCCTAAAAAAATCAGTTCTTAATATACACTTAAGAATCTACATTTCCTTGCAACTAAAATCAAATTTAAGAACATTTTTAAGGTATTTCGATCTCTTTATGTTTTCTGTGTACTCCGATCTGTGTGCATGTGGATATATATCGCGAATAACACTGTTGGCTGTTGGCTGCAAAGTCAATTGCCAAATATGGCGGACTTGTTTGTGTGTGGTTTAATGTCACACTCACACACAGGGGGCCGCCGATAAGTGTAACTCTCTGACTGTCAATAGCTGAGCTTTGTATAAGGAAAGACCACTACTTGTTTCACCAAAACTCGCTGAAATAGTCACCCAACATTGGCGCTTCGCTAGCTGGCTTTCCTTTGTCTCCGCACAATAATATTGAAATTAGCATGCGTCCAAATAATTTATTCTCTAATTGTTATCTAAACCTCTGGCCCTAAAAGGCCACCATCTCCATCTCCAGTCCGATCCTCGGATGAGTGTGCCAAGCCCAGTAGAGCCACCCAAGGCAGATCAGAAAAGAGCTTTGCTGGCGGGGGATTAGATGGAAATTCGCTGTGACTAATTGGCCGAGAGCTTGACTAATGGCACTTGAACAATAATTAATTCGATTCTAACGATCTGCATCGGAATGTATTTAGTACTTATTTGCGGGGTAAAATATGTACTTCGGTTTCCATTGATGAAAACAGTTGGGAACTTTCAAAGAGCCGACATTGATTATATACAGTCGAAGTCTCGAATTCCCTTTTTCATTTTAAGTTCAAAGATTTAGCATAATCGTATCTGACACATTTTGGTGTCTGCTGTCGATAAGAAAGTGTTTAGCTATGCGAATATTATTCTCAAATATTGGTAACCTAAATATTTATCATTTTATGAGCCAAGCCTAATCTTGATCTATGTGATCTCTTAATTAATATTTGAGTTCTGTTGGGGACCCTGTGCAGATTTCCTCAGATATTTTAATAAGTTTGTTATCTTACAAATTTGACTTGATTAAGTTTCATTACAGTCAGGTGGCAAACACAAATGCTACTCATTTTATTTTTTAACAATTTTTTTTCGTTATTCAGCTACATTTCTTCTGAGAAAACCGTGGGCTTGCCACGGCGAAGGGCAGGCAGGTAACACACTAAACCACTTCCACCTTATGCAATATCGTCGTTTCATTCTTTTGCGTCAGCAAGCCGAATGGAGAATACTAATAAAAATCGCGGCTCCCGCGCGTAATCCGCTGGCCAACCTACGATCGCAGAGTGTTCTTTGCATGGAAAGCAGCTGCTGCTGCCGCTTAGAAACCGACCAAACAGCCACAGCAGCAGAAAACTAAAAAAAATAAGTGAAAAAATAAGGTAAAATAAAATAATATAAACAACAAGCTGCGACGACGAAGTGCAACCAACGCCAATGCAGTGGCAGTGAAGCAGCCGCTTATTTAATATGCAAATGAGCGCATAAAGGCGATTCATTGCTGGAAGAGCGAAGCCAAGATACTTGCTACTTGCTGAGCAGTAAACAAAAATGGCAGCAAAATAATTGTTATTCAGCAGCTGGCATTAAAGGGAGGATGCGCGCGCTTGGCAACGAACATTCATTCATTCATTCATTCAGATTCTGCTTGATTTTTTTTCCGTTGCCTTTAAGCCAGGCCAACTGCCCACGCAGCCCGATGATTTGATGTGGCAATAAGCGATAATTATGCGAGCACAACGCGGCGTATGAGTAATTTGCGTTCGCAATTAGAAACAGGCGCCGACGTCGACGTGCTGAAATGTTCAAATTGCAAGTATTAATCTCAAAGAATACAATTCGCACACAGACACAAAGGCTGCTGCAGCAAAAAAGCCACCAGCAAAACCGCAACAAGTAATAACAAATGCGGCCAAAGAACGAAAACAGAAATAATAGACGGTGAAGAAAAGAATCCAAGCAACTTGACAAATGCTGTGGGTGTTCGTGTTGTTGTGGGCCCACGTTTAAAATTAATAATAAAGTACACTCAGTACACACTCACACACACGCAGAGCACACACACTCAGTAGTCGTCGCAGCAACGAAAGAGTTGAATATTGACAAAAAGCAGCAGCAGTAGGGAAAAAAGCAGGCCATAAGAATTTCTTGAGCAAAGCTGCTGGTTATATTATTTCCAATAAAACTTAAACATGTAATAACTTTTGAGCAGTTGCTGGAAGGGAAGACACGAGCACACGAGGCGGAGGTGGGGCTCCTACTCCGGTTAATGTGCTCATCAAATAGCCATAAATCAGCTCATTTAAATTTCCCAAGCGCATATGAAAATAATTGGAAGCCGTTTCCGAGTGGCCTAAGGTGTGCTTGTTGTAAATAATAATTTTTAGGATTTTTAAAACAGGAAGCTGGGAGTTTAACTGAATGGGTTTCAAAACTCAACGTTTTTAGGTACACCGTAAAAAACTATTTGGATATAACAACAGATAAAGGATAGTGTTTCTTTGGATTTTATTATAACCAAATGGCCCAAATGAACTGCCCTGGGACTGTTTAAGATTCGATGTTTAAAGTAACAATAATAGGTGACAAAATATAAGGTTTTTTTCTCTATTGTTTTTCTTTGTGTACTCCTCCCTAATTTCTATGAAAATTTAAATAAAGAAGAAATCGCAAACAAAGCGAATTTCGCCTTGCTTAGCTGCGTTCCCTATTTGGAAGTTCTCGCCCAGTGTCCATTCAAAAGCATCAAGTAAGAAATCAAAGCAAACGTGGCGTATGCGTAATACAAAGGCCCAAAGCCTCAAAGCCTCAAAGCACCCAAAGACCAAAAAAACCACCGACTACCGACTGCTGACTACTGACCCATCCAAAGGCAACCCACGCCAGCTCAGACCCAGTCCCAGGGAGACTCTCGTAAATTACCCAAACAAAGGCGGATAGGAAATAACTAACCAAGTCCGAGTTAGCCGGCAAAGCACAGTGATTCCAGTCAGCCAAACAGCCATCGCTAGCCGAGTTGCTGTTGTGTCCATTTAAGCCTTGCCAATTTTGGCAACTTGTCGACCACTTGGCGCTCGAACATCAGCGATCGAGAGATGAGAGCTCCGAGCTCCGAGCTCTCGACCGCCCATACAATTTGTTTCCCATATTAATTTATCATTTATAAACGATTATTGTTATATAAATTAAATTGCGCGCCCAAAACAAATTAAAC